TGGAACATTCACAAACCCAAATAAAGCCCTGGGTTTAAAGGAGCTTCCCACCATCCATGGTCTCAGTGGGCAATCGGCCACCCTGGCCACTGCAGAGCTCATGGGAAGATGCCCATGACCCCCACAGAACACCCTACAGTACCTCTGATCCCACTGACCATTCACCATTCCCAAATTCCATTTTTTTGTGAATGGTGAATTAGGAAGGTGCCTATCTCTGATCCCATTCCCCACTCCCAGATCCCGTTTTCCTGAGTTTCTCTCCTACCTTCCATGGTTTGGTGAGGCGATCGGCCACCCTACAGTATCTCTGATCCCATTGACCATTCCCCTTTTCCAGAACCTGTTTTTTTGAGTTTCTCTCCCACCTTCCATGGTCTCGGTGAGGCGATCAGCCACCCTGGCCATGGCAGAGCTCATGGGAAGGAACCCATGGAGCAGAGACTCCCCAGTATCTCTGGTCCCATTCAGCACTCCCAGATCCCATTTGTTATGGGATAAAGGTGCCTCATTCCCACCTTCCATAGTCTCGGTGGGGCAATCAGCCACCCTACAGTATCTCTGATCCCATTGACCATTCACCACTCCCAGATCCCATTTTTTTGTGAATGGTGAATTAGGAAGGTGCCTATCTCTGATCCCATTCCCCACTCCCAGATCCCGTTTTCCTGAGTTTCTCTCCCACCTTCCATGGTCTCAGTGAGGCGATTGACCACCCTACAGCATCTCTGATCCCATTGACCATTCCCCTCTTCCAGAACCTGTTTTTTTGAGTTTCTCTCCCACCTTCCATGGTCTCGGTGAGGCGATCGGCCACCCTACAGTATCTCTGATCCCATTCACCATTCCCCTCTTCCAGATCCCATTTTCCTGAGTTTCTCTCCCACCTTCCATGGTCTCAGTGAGGCAATCGGCCACCCTGGCCATGGCAGCACTCATGGGAAGGTGCCCATGGAGCAGAGACTCCCCACTATCTCTGGTCCCATTCAGCACTCCCAGATCCCATTTTCCTGAGTTTCTCTCCCACCTTCCATGGTCTCGGTGAGGCAATCGGCCACCCCACAGTATCTCCGATCCCACTGACCATTCACCATTCCTAAATCCCATTTTTTTGTGAATGGTGAATTAGGAAGGTGCCATCTTTGTGAATGGTGAATTAGGAAGGTGCCATCTTTGTGAATGGTGAATTAGGAAGGTGCCTATCTCTGATCCCATTTTCCTGAGTTCCTCTCCCACCTTCCATGGTCTCAGTGAGGCGATTGGCCACCCTGGCCACCACAGAGCTCATGGGAAGGAGCCCATGGACCAGCAGGCCCCCACAGAACACCCTATGGTGCCTCTAATCCCATTGACCATTCACCACTCCCAGATCCCATTGTTTTGAGTTTCTCTCCCACCTTCCATGGTCTCGGTGAGGCAATCAGCCACCCCACAGTATCTCTGATCCCATTCCCCATTCACCACTCCCAAATCCCATTTTTTGGGATGAAGGTGCCTCCTTCCCACCTTCCATGGTCTCGGTGAGACGATCGGCCACCCTACAGTATCTCTGATCCCATTGACCANGAATTGGATGAGGAACAGCCCCGGGCAGGCACAGACCTGGTCCATCCGGCTGGCCACGGCACTGACCAGAGCCTGGTCACGGAAATGCTGATGGAAACGCTCCAGGTTCACCTGCCAGTAAATGCCATCATCCGGGGGAGCCTGCGGGAAAATGGACAAAAAATGAGGGGAAATGGGGCAGGAAAAGAGAGGGAAATGGGGCAGGGAAATGGGGGAAAAGAGAGGGAAATGGGGCAGGAAAAGAGAGGGAAATGGGGCAGGAAAAGAGAAGGAAATGGGACAGGAAAAGAGAGGAAAAAAGAGGGAAATAGGGCAGGAAAAGAGAAGGAAATAGGGCAGGAAAATAGGGAGAAATGGGGCAGGAAAATGGGGGAAAAGAGGGAAATAGGGCAGGAAAAGAGAAGGAAATGGGGCAGGGAAATGGGGAGAAAGGGGCAGGAAATTAGTGGGGAAAGAGATGGAAATGGGGCAGGAAAAGAAAGGGAAATGGGGCAGGAAAAGAGAAGGAAATGGGCAAGAAAATAGGGGGAAAGAGAGGGAAATGGGGCAGGAAAATGGGGGAAAAGAGGGGGAAATGGGGCAGGAAAATAGGGAGAAATGGGGCAGGAAAATAGTGGGGAAAGAGATGGAAATGGGGCAGGAAAAGAAAGGGAAATGGGGCAGGAAAAGAGAGGGAAATGGAGCAGGAAAGGAGAGGGAAAAAAAGAGGGAAATAGGGTAGGAAAAAAGAGGGAAATGGGGCAGGAAAATGGGGGAAAACAGAAGGAAATGGGGCAGGAAAAGAGAAGGAAATGGGCAAGAAAATAGGGGGAAAAGAGGCAGGAAAATAGGGAGAAATGGGGCAGGAAAATGGGGGAAAATAGGGGGAAATGGGGCAGGAAAATGGGGGAAAAAGAGGGAAATAGGGCAGGAAAAGAGAGGGAAAAGGGACAGGAAAAGAGAAGGAAATGGGCAAGAAAATAGGGGGAAAAGAGAGGGAAATGGAGCAGGAAAATGGGGGAAAGGAGAAGGAAATGGGGCAGGAAAAGAGAAGGAAATGGGGCAGGAAAATAGGGAGAAATGGGGCAGGAAAATGGGGGAAAAGAGAGGGAAATAGGGCAGGAAAAGAGAAGGAAATGGGCAAGAAAAGAGAGGGGAAAAAAGAGGGAAATGGGGCAGGAAAATGGGGGAAAAGAGAGGGAAATGGGGCAGGAAAAGAAAGGGAAAAGGGGCAGGAAAAGAGAAGGAAATGGGGCAGGAAAAGAGAGGGAAAAAAGAGGGAAATAGGGCAGGAAAAGAGAAGGAAATGGGGCAGGAAAAGAGAAGGAAATGGGCAAGAAAATAGGGGGAAAAGAGAGGGAAATGGGGCAGGAAAACAGGGGAAAATAGGGGGAAATAGGGCAGGAAAAGAGAAGGAAATGGGGCAGGAAAAGAGGGAAATAGGGCAGGAAAATAGGGGAAAAGAGGGGGAAATGGGGCAGGAAAAGAGATGGAAATGAGCAAGAAATTAGGGGGAAAAGAGAGGAAAATGGGGCAGGAAAAGAGGGAAAAAAGAGGGAAATGGGGCAGGAAAATAGGGAGAAATGGGGTAGAAAATGGGGGAAAAGAGAGAGAAATGGGCAGGAAAAAAGAGGGAAATGGGGCAGGAAAATGGGGGAAAAGAGAGGGAAATGGGGCAGGAAAAGAGAAGGAAATGGGGAAGGAAAAGAGAAGGAAATGGGAAAGAAAAGAGAGGGGAAAAAAGAGGGAAATAGGGCAGGAAAATAGGGAGAAATGGGGCAGGAAAATAGTGGGGAAAGAGATGGAAATGGGGCAGGAAAAGAGAGGAAAATGGGCAAGAAAATAGGGGCAGGAAGCTAAGGAAGAGCAGCCACAAAACTGAGAGATGGCAGCCAAGAAAACGAGGAAAAAGAGGCTCAAAAAATGAGGAAGAAGCCACAAGAAATGAGGAAAAGGAACCAGGAAAAATGAGGAAGAAGAGCCATGAAA